AACCATTAATGTCAGCTTGCTTCCAGTCAGAATGAAAAAACAAAACGTTTTTTTTCTTTATATTAAAGCCACAAATCTCTGCTGAACATGATTGTCTTTTATTCTGTCCTGAAGATACATACCTGAAGGTGAAATGTCTTGTCAATAAAATGATTTTCCATTTTGTTTGATATGTATAATATGATTTCAACTTGTTCACTCCAAAGTATGTTTTAATGTTATAAATCTTTTCTCATTGAAATTTGACAAAAATAGAAAGTCTTCATTAGAAATTTAAAATGTTTTTCTTTTGATAAAACAAAATTCTTACACACAACAGAATATTTAATAAATATCAGCATAAATATGTTAACATACTTTACTAATTTAAATGAGTTTGAAATATCTTTATCCAAAGTGCTACTTGACAGCAAATTAACAAGCACCATAGGAACTAGAGTAATATTAGACAGCTCCTGGCAAACACAAAAATAATACATAATTCTAATAACAAAAATAAACTAAAAATTATTGAAGCCATTTCCATCCAATAAAAACAGTCATACATCAATAAAAATAATTATATTCTCCAACCCCACATTCTAACAATTCATATAAAAAAAAAAAAAAAAAAAAATCACCATCACATGTTATTGGTACATATTACTGGAGTTGAAAAGACTTCTGGCATTTGGATTAATGCAATTTAAAAATATAATGACACTTTAAAATGTACCACTTAAAACAATTTTGATTTTCTTCACTGTACATGTACAAACTCCTGATGATAACTCACATGATTCGAAAGCTTGGACATGGCCTTGAGTTTAGGTATCTCATACATCTGCAGCAGCCATGTTTGCTGAAGACTATTTACAATTTAAAAAAGATGGTTAAATTTAATAGACATAGAAGCTTATATGTTTTATTAAAACATTTTTAAAAGTACAGTTGCTGCCAAATTAAACTAAAGCACTTAAAAATATGGATCCACACATAGAAGGCACAAAGTTAAGCAAAAAAATCACTTGTTATACAACCAAATATGTAAAACTTCCTTGTTTACACAGAGATATTTCTAACTTGTAAAAGAATATCACACTATATTAAGAGGAGTCATTGTGTTCATTATAGCAAACAGATGTAAAACAAAGAATAAAACTAACTTTGAATAAAATAGATAATCTTGTTTTCTTTATGACAAAACTTTCTCTTTTTATTATGCTTTTTTTTCATTTAATTCAAGAATTTGTCTTATTTTTATCTTTGATATTAACACATCGACTGTCAAAGGTCAGTTATAAAATCTGACTTCAAACACCAATAAAACGTTTTTATGAGTTGATTTATAGCTTCAACTGAAGTCTTAACATTGTTTTCACACTAAAAGTAGGTATTTATCCATGTCTCAACAGAATGTGACACAAAGTTGGAGTCTAATGTGGAATTTCCACAAACAAAAAATGTTCAAGTCCTCTCGCACTTTCCATTTTGGGCATACTTCAGAAGAGTTACGAGATCTCATCCATGGTCTTTCTTATTCCAAGTTCTGTGTCCTTTTACAACATTGTCAAACATGGGTCTCCACAATTTCCTGTCCTTTATAGCTCTTAATAAATTTTGATTTTTGTTATCTCTCCTATACCTTGCTCTGCCTTCCAAACTCACTAGGTAGGTTATGCATTGTTTTCCTGTCTTTCTTCTTTCAATCGGTCCTGTGAGTATCAAATTTTCCAAGCCCTCTTTCATCGTTATATGTCCTAGAAATTTCAACTTTATCTTCTTGATGTTAAGTATAAATGTCCTTTTTGTTTCCATTTTCTCTAAAACTTTGTTGTTGCTTACATGTTTTTGCCCATTGTATTCTCAGCAGCCTTCTGTAGAACCACAGAACCACATTTCTGTGGCTTCAAGTTTCTTCTTCATTTGTGAGGAGATTGTCCAATATTTATATTACATAAATGTTCAGTCCTCTTTTCTTTGTTTCTAACAAAAATTTTCTGACTAAACTGAAAATTTGCTCTGAATTAACTCATCCATAGCATTACTAACATTATTTCCCATTTGACTAATATCTCTGTTTCTGCTGTCACAATCACAATGATTTATTTGGCTTCAGGCATCTGTTGGTCTGGCCTAGAGGATTATAGTACTGGTTAGTGAATTTGGTGACAATGAGTTCAGTAAAAATGCAAAAATAGAATGGGGTGTAAGACAAGGATCTGTCTTCTCACCAGACAACCTATACAGCGAGGCAATTCTGAGAGAATTAGAAGTCCTACAAGAATTAATTATTGGTGGCGACAATCTTAACAGCATAAGAATTGCAGATGATACAGTGCCAATAGCAGACACAGAAAGGAAATTACAGGAATTCCTGGAGAAGGTGGTAAAGGAAAGTAAGAAGAAAGGACTAAACAGCAATTGCGAGAAGACAGAATGCATGGCTGTTGGCAAAAGGAACAACCTAACATTGAAATTACAGATTAGAGATACAGAAATCAAACAGGTGCAACAAGTTAGATATCTGGGGAGCATAATAACAAAGGATAGAAAGTATGACACTGAAATCCAAAGGTGCATTGGGACAGTGAAAGATGCCTTCCAAAAAATAAGCAAAACATTAAGAAACAGGAAAATTATGTTGGAAACAAAGTGTATTGAACTGTCATGTAGTATTAGTCATCTTGTATGACAATGAATGCTCAACAATCTCCTCACAGATGAAGAAGAAACTTGAAGCAACAGAAATATGGTTCTACAGAAGGATGCTGAGAATACCATGGACCAAAAATGTGAACAACAACAAAGTTCTAGAGACAGATAACAAAAAGGACACTTATGCTTAAAATCAGAAAAAGGCAGTCAAAATTTCTGGTGCATATAATGAGGAAAAAGACCATAGAAAAGTTGATACCCACAGGACAGATTGAAGGGAAGAGGGTCAGATGAAAGTAATGCACAACCTACCTGGTAAGTTTCAGCAAATGGACGGCAGAGCAGGTTTTTTTGAGAGATAGCAAAAAGACAAAAGTTATTAAGAGTTACAAAGGGCAGCAGGAAATTATGCAGAGTCAAGATGAGCAATAACTGAACAATTAACCAAGATGAGATTTCCCTAGAGGTGAGCAGTGAAATGAGAGCAATGTAACCTCATAAATTGAATAAAGATTTGGTTCAAAATTACCTGAATGTTGCCTAGACAGCTGAAGAAGGTCAAAGGGCACAACTGCCAAGAATGTTGTGATAACAACAACAAAGATGAGGACATTAGTTACACAGTAAACAATATAAATCCCAAAAATTCTGATAGAAATCATCCATAGCTGTGAACAGATTGTTAAAAGACGGAAACAAGTTGTTACAATAATAAACATTACTTATACATTACTTACTTATATATTATTTCATTGCAGGTTTTTATTTGCGATTCATATCAGTCTGTATTGATTCTTTTTTCTTACAGAAAGAATTATCTTCATATCATTTGGTAAAATGCTTATGAGAAATGCTACTTACTTTTTGACTTCAGGATTTTTTTTTTTAAAGCAATTCACACCAAGCAAAGCGAGAGTGCCATTATCACAGGAGGAATGAAAACAAGAGTAAAGAGGCATATTTGGGGAAAGAATACAGAGAAGGATAGGGAACAAGCTCAGGGTGTCAGATGTCGGTTGACATTACACTGGAATATTTGAAGATTATGGTCATCGGGGAAGCAAGTAAGGGGAAGGGAGTTCCACAGATGGGAAGTGTGGGAGAAGAAGCTATGTGAGGAGAAGAGACAGTTACATTTAACCGTTTTGACAGTGAAAAAGTAGGACTGAGATGCCAGAAGAAGCTGTTTGAGTAGAAGAGACGGTTACATTTAACCGTTTTGACAGTGAAAGGGTGGGACCGAGATGCCAGCCTGGTAGCTCGCTTAAATTCATGCAGTCTGGGAACCAATGAAAGTAGCTCATTGGAACAGTTGCCGTGAGTCATTGTAATGCCTCCAAATATTTTTTTCTTATACAGAAATAATGATAATCCTTCACTTAAGACCAAGGTACATACGTTTATTATAATTAAACATTATTACAACAGGTAATGGTGAACTACACAGCAAATAAATGCTGAAAACACAGAACTGTTCTTGTACCACTGACATTATATGAATTCATGAAGACATGAGCAATGTCTCAGAAGTTTTAAACTGTTGAAGCAGTTTATGTTTGAAATGCATCAAAATATTTTCAACGTTTACCTGATTTGCAATACCAGCAATCTGTCACATCTTGATAGGCATTTAGCCCAAATGGCTGCTTGTACTGTTTGCAATGTAGGCTGTTTCAAATGAGCCATCACTGTGTTAACCAACACAGCACAGTTATAGGCTCCCTAAGATGATTGCAGAACTCCAATAAACACCAATTTTCTTGCAAAATATCTTCTCATGACAATAATTCATTCAACTGATTGACTGTAGAACACTTGGCCTACCATGTGACATTAAGTCATATTAAGCAAAAGACATTTATAAAAATAAAACATTTAAAGACATAAAATGACAGTTTATTTTACGCTGTTGAAGTGAAGCACAACTTTGACACATTATCTTATGCCGCTTATGTGAAAGATTACTGAAAGAATTATCTTTGTTAAAAATGCTTACGAGAAATGCTACTTACTTTTTGATCTCGGGATATTTCTTATAATACTCATTATAATGCCTCCAAATCTCAGTCGAAAAGATGCCACCTGCAACAGACAAAAATATACACTAGACTTGAGAGAAAAAAACATTTGGTGGTGAGAGGATTTAAAAGATGACCACAGAATGATGGCCTAAGTAGGTGTAATAAAAAGCAAAATAGGAAAGAAGTACTAGTTAAAACTTGATAACCAATATTAAGAGCTAATACTCTGCGTATAACTTTGCATGCAATGTATATGCATATGTGGGTGACTGACTCGCATATGCTTGTGACATTTACTGTACACATAGAGACACAACTGGACTGTGCTTACACGCCACATCATGTTGAAGCACCAGTTCCCATACGATCACCAAAGTTAAGCAACATCAAGCCTGAGCAGTACTTAGATGGGTGATAACATGGGAATACCATGTGCTATAAACTTGGGTGTACGGATGAATAATGGCTCAGAATTATTAATCAGAGAGTCAATTTTCAATTCCTGATGTGTTTATCATGTACATTTACATGCAAATACCATTGGGATATGTATGAATCTAGTTCTCAACTCCCCACCCACCCAAATATATGTTGATTAGTAGTATCACTAAACTTATCTTATATAACTTATAGATTAATTAGTAAGACTTGTATCATTAAACTTATAATAATTTAAATTATCTTTAAAAAAATTCTTAAAACCTAAAAAAATATTTTCTGGCTTTAAATAACCTGCAAAGGCTTGATAAGCCGTAGAAAACAAATTGATCAATAAAACAACTGATTTTGAAATAAGACATTGGACTAATATATTCCCCCTTCTACTCAATCTGGTTAAGCCCTATCCAAGATCATAAAGTTGGAAACAAAAAAAAATGTTAATTCATTAATTTTTTTTAAGCTTAACTTATAGGATTTTTGAGAACTTTTGGGAAATTATTCAATAATAAATAAAATTATTTTTATTTTATTTTTTTAATTTTGAGAAAATATTTTTAGGTCTGTCATTGAATTAAAATCTACTAGTGCACATGTAAATGTACATACATTCACAGTTTAAATGAAATTGAAATGGGCATTTGTGTCACAAGACCTTTCATCTGGCAACAACCCCTTTTGTGATGACTCCTGTATTTAAACTGGATATATTTTCTTATAAATATAGTATTTTATATGGACAAAGATTTGAAATTCAATCATTTTGCTATCAGTAAAGCGATGGGTTCTGAACTAATTTATGGCTAACAATATTCAAATGAGCTTTTGATATTTAAATTTGTTTAAATCTTTCAATGTTGATTTATATCAAGTCTTGTCTCTGATTTTGATTTCATGACAATAGATGAGTATTTTTTGTTATGCCAGGTTCCTTCAGGATGCAGGTGATCATGACACTCCACATCTTTTTTTTTTTTTTTTTTATCTGTGAATTTCCAGGGTTCCTTAGGAAAGACAGTGGAATGCTTTCTCATTGCCTTCTTCACAGTTGTTCTCTTTTGGCTGTCACCCAAAAGTAGAGAAACAAGTCTATGCTGCTATTTAACCTATACCTGGGGGAGGGAAAGAGACAGATTTATACCTTCCCCAAGGGCATTAGCACAAAAGTGAAGGCAAGAGACTCAGACTTTTAACTTGACTTACCTTTCCCTTTTTCTGTACTGATAATTGTCATAGTTACTACACAGGAGATAAGTAATTTAATACAAAAGAAAGGCACAGTGGAGTAATGGATAACAGCTCAGATAGAGGAATTGAAGAGCAGTGTTCAAATTCCAGTCAAGTTCATTACATTTACTTATGTGTAAATGCTCTTGGAAAAAGTATGAATCCATCTCTTCTCCCTCCCCACCAGCTATGTGTAAATAGCAGGACAGACTGGATCCTATAGCCTTAGGTGGCAACTGGCCTAGAAGCATATTTATGTATTCAAATCCTGAGGGCCTAGTGTATGAGCTGAGGCTGACCCACATCATATTCCATAGTCTTCAGCTGTCAGTCAAGAGCTTGGAGAGGAGATGAGCACTGCCAAACTATTGGAAGGCCCACTGAAAAGATCATGTGGGAGAAGAATCAAAGTTTGTTTCTTCTGCCCTCAATTCCATCCCCCCACAACTGAAGTAGTCACATGACTAGTGATGTTGATAAAAGAAAAGGAAGTTAGTCATTACAAATTATTATATTATGGTAATAAAATCTTTCATTTCATTAAATTTGCTTTTTTTTTTGTTAAATAAATATGGAAAATGGTAAGCACGATTTTTTTGTTAGTGAATTGACCACTTAATACAAGGCCCAATATCCACTCAAGGTCGGTGGTTACTGAATGACCTTACTGTAAGAGGAGGAGGTAACAAAATGAAATTATGAATGAAAGAAGAGGTGGCTGGAAATGAAAATGACAATAAAGAGTATAGATAATCATTGACTCTTGACTTGAAGAGGTTAATATTGTAATATTCAGGGAAGTGTCCATTTGGGAGTATACACCACAAAGTAGAAGTTCTTGAGAAAAAAGCTGAGTGGAACACTCTCCTCACATTTAAAATACAGAGGAAATGTGGCTGATTCAACTCCATGGAAGCAACATAGCTGTAAGCGATATGGGATTGCAAAGGAAATGTTTGTCACAGATTATTTCCACGTCACCGAGAATAAATCAGACTCGAACATCGGGACAGAAAGAAAATGCCGAAAACTTGATTCGCAAGTACTATTTCACAAATCACAATGCACACAACCAGTCTGAAAAATGACTCCCTCGCTAACCAATGTGGCAGCCAAAATCGCCAACTTTTTTTCCCTTCTTTTATCGGCCGAACATTTTTTTCCATTTGTTTGTTGACAGCTGGGAGAGGATGTTCAGTAATTTGCATATCAACATATTTTTATAGCGACTCCTGTGACGGACTTGTTTTTTAATTCAAATATTCCATTTTCAGCATGTCATGCGGAATACGTGCCCTTTTGTTTGGTAAGTAATTTTCTTTTTCGCCACATTTTCCGTTGTAGAATACACGTGACGCACTGTCGCTTGGCTTGACGAGGTAAGTCGCCATTTTCTTCGCTATAATAGTATATTCAAGCAGTTAAATGTCTGAACTAGTAGAACTAAAAAATTGAGCTCATCTGAACATTTGCCATTTAAAATAGTGTAGCAATGTTGTATCTGTGGGAAAGAGGCTGCAAAGCAAAGAATAAGTGTTTTCAAAAAGAGCATGTAAATGATTTTGAACTCTATCAAAGCCGAAAAGTGAGAATTAAGCAGCTCCAGCCCAAATATAGCAGTAGTCTTTGGTCTAATCTGACTCTTGTACCTGTAAGCATGAAAAACAATAAGAAGACATCACACAAAACCAAAACATCAGCAGCAACAACAGGGCCAACCATGTAAATTAGATGAGAAATCAATGTCAAGTGCCTTTTCATGACTTTATTCAAAGTAGGTATATAGCCGAGGGGTTAGAACATTAGTATTCCAACCATAAGACCTGGGTTTGAATCTCACCATAGTCAGTTTGTTAGGGAAGATGTACAGTAAAATGACACTGAAAAGACCAGTTCTCATTCAATCACCAGTTAAGCAGTGTCAAGTCCAGTCAGTATTTAGATGGGGCACTGCTTGGGAATACTGGGTACTGTAAGCAACCTCCTACAATCTGAAATATATTTGGGTTTTAAATAACCCACAAAGGGTTGATAAACCATAAAAATTAATCAATTGTTAGAAAGGCAACTTCTTGATGATAATCAGATTGGAGAAACAATCCTAGCAGGCAACACCATTGGGAAGCATCAGAAAACTATACCACAGTTTGACTCTAGCTTTGTAAAAGAAATTGGGTTGGTGAAACTGTTCAGAAGCAGCCAATTGTTATACAAACATAAGTTACAAGTTATCATGACTGAAGATTTGAGTTTGTTCAAATGGGTAATAACACCAAATTATAAGCTCTCACCCATAAACTGTAACTAAGGTCCATTCAGCATAGTCACAGTATAAACCACATGTGAATTCCATAGGTGTTGAACAAGCACAAAATGTACCTGAATGACAGGGATTAGTTAGCTATCATAAGCAAATGGAAATACTCACATTCAAGCAGCCAGCTATGCTTGGTCAAAAAAAAATTTTTTTAAATAATAATTACCTGTTAGAATATCAAAGATTGTATAATGAATGTTTAATTTTTTTTATTTAAATATACCATTTTCATCATTCTTAGCTTTGATCCTAGAAATGTGTGCTGGGGAAATATTTATAAAATACTGGTTTTGTGTGTGTGTTTTTTTTTTTTTTGTTTTGTTTTTTTTTAGACATTACTCCTGCCAATAAATGCATAATTCAGACTAGTATTTTTTTAAAAATTTGTTTCTGATGGTGGATTCATACCACTTAGTATTTCCTTTTCAAGGTGAGTAATTGTCAATATTCTTGCATTATTTTGAACTACTGTTCTCACCATAGTTGATATTTATGCTCACCTGGCTTTGACTAGGGTAGTTTCAAAATAATATTAAACTCAAACCCTTGCTGTCTCTCTCCTTTGGGTTTACTACCTGATGCATCCCTAAAGGAGAAGTGCTGTGGGAGCTTGGGCAATTTTTTCACAGTATTGCCATTAAACCCACTTTAAACCTCAACCTTGGGTCATATTTGGTAGCAATTTGGGTGCACTGAAAAATCTACTCTTCTTGATTGATATAGATTGCGAATAAGCAAATGTCAAAAATCATCTGACATTGAATATAAAAGACTCTAAAACACATCACTAATTGTCCTTCACTGGCGTAGTGGATATAGGAGTTGGTTATACATGTGTTATTGCGATCTAGTGGCTATGAATTCAATCCTTGGATCATTTACGAACAAAATAATATGAGAATAGCACAACTTCACATGAGAATAAAAAAGATTCTAGAGAGAATCAGCAAAAAATCATAGAGCTGTTTAATACTAGAGTCAAAAAAGGCAGACACAGGTCGTGTTTACACCCAAGTCGAAAAGGTAGGTCACGTTTACACTTGAGTCAAAATGTTAAATAATAGTTTAGCAGACCATTATTTTTTAGAGAAGTGTATTTCCGCTCTGATTTCCTCAGTCTGACCTCAGGGGTCAGATACAAAACAAAATAAAGGAAGTCGATTTTGATTGGCTAAACTAGTGTGAGAATGATAGAGAAAGGTTTTTCGAGGAGTCGAGTCTGAACCGTCATACGATGTACATGTGTTTACACTTAAGTCTAAAACGTAGACATAGGTCTGGTTTACATCATAGTAAGAAATATAGACATAGATCTAATTTATACTCAAATCAAAAAGATAAAAACTGGTTAGGTTTATGCTATAAAGTCTGTAAGGGATCATCTAGAAACTAGTTCCTTTTGGGGAGAAGAGTCTATAGCTCTCTGAAAGCATTCAAGCAGTGTACTCTAAGCCCT